TGTATTTCTTCTGTCAATACTTCGATTATGAACAGTTGTTAGTCAAGTTTCATTTCTGAAGAGAGTCTGTAGCTAGTGTCTGTGAATTTATCTAATTCGGATACGAGGTATGTCATTTCGGGACTGTGTAATATGGCCTTGAAAATCGCAGTTTGGTTCTGTACAATGTGAGATAATTTATTCTGGTTGTTAAACAGTTTGTCGATATTTGCGTCAATAGTTTGTAAGTCGTTTTCGTTTAAGGTACCGAATAAAGTTTTAGATGCGGACCCTATAATGTTAAGGATGCCTCGTTTAATTCCATAGTGTAAGAGCGCACGCAGTTTGTCATATTCTAACTGTAGTTTGGTTACCTTGGTTTGTGTTAGCTTTAAACCTAGCGACTTACAATTCTTAGTTGTACAATCTCTAGTAGTTCCGTCTAATGTTTTTTATTTTTCTGACGTCATCACTTAACTCTAGGAGGTCGAATAAGATATTGATCTTAATTTCTCCATGGTAAAACATTCGCGTATTACCTCAGATATGATGTTGGTGTCATTTAGCGGGGTCAGAGTTGTCTGTCCTTGGACTACAACCTGGAACCAAGCGATATGGTCGTAATCTGTTGCCGTGTAGGAGTAACGTTTTGGTTTTCCCGTTTCTCAAAAAGTAATTGGGTCTTTTGTCTTCAATTATGGTATATGGCTCTAGGAATTCTAGACTAAGTTTATGCTGTTTGTGGTCGTTATGAACGAGAACCTGGTCGTTTACGTTATAAAAACTTTGAATTTGTATTTTATGATCTTGGTCTCGTTTGTATCGTAATTTATTGCGTTCTGTTATTTTCTTCGCGTGCTTAAGGTATTCTGAGTGTCGATTTTTCTAAACAGTTCGTTTTTAGATAATGTGGGAGTTAAGGATATAGCAGAGGGCATAGTATCTTTGTGTCCGAAAGTTAGTTCAAAAGGGTTATAACCCGTGCCCGAGTGCACAGAGGTATTATAAGCCATACATATAATATTGAGATTTTGATCCCATTCATTCTTTTTCTCTTCAATACTGGTTCTTGGTAGGTCTTTTATTACACCGTGTGCGCGTTCAAGTGAGCCATTGCTTTGAGGGTGAAAGCTGGTTGTCTTTATGTGTTTAATTTTAAAAAGTTTTCTAAATGATTCCATGAACTTGCATACAAAGTTCTGTCCTTGGTCGATTAGTATATATTTAGGAGATGAAAAAATATAAATGTAGTGTGGTTTATGAGTTTGTTGATAATAGATTCTGCTTTTTGGTCTGGAAGTGGGGCTAGAAAAGTATATATTTAGTCAGGCAGTCTTGGATTGACAAGCTAAATTGGTTTCTTTGAGTAGTGAGAAGTAGGGGTTCGATAATGTCCATTGCGACTTTATCGTTTCATCGGGTGTATTGGTTATAATTGCTTTTTCACGGGACCTGATACGCATTAACTTTGTTCGTTGGCAAACGTCGCAGTTCTGTATTAGTCCAATAATGTTGGTCTTTAATTCGCGCGATTGTTTTATTTTCTCCTAAATGTTGGGAGAGGTTGTGATATGAAAGTTTCGTAAACTATTCAAATGAAATATATTATACTTCATTTATCATATATATAGTTATTATTTTTCCTCTCTATTCTATCTTTTATAACTTTTATAATTCTCGAGAATTCCGAAGATTTTGTGAATACCGACTTTTTCAAGAATTTCGATTTTTTAATTTTTCGATTTCTATCACGAAAGGGAATATTTCACTAAAAATATTTACCACAAAATAGGTTATTCTCAGTATAAGTGTCTAATTAAAAATTTTATATTTGCTAGTATACACTCACCCCCCACGCGATACTATTTATACATGATTTTTATTACGCGATCAGTATTGAGCAAATTTCATTTGAAATAAACAATTTGAATTAACGAATCATTTTCACTAGTTCATTATTTTTATTTAATATATATAATATAGTATAGGAATTTTATCTTGTGATCAAATTAAATAAATAAATCATTGAAATCGTTGAAATAAAATAAAAAATAATCTAAATGCACGCAATAGAATCAAATTATTTGAGAAATTATTTGTAGAAGCAAATAGAAAATACAAAAAAAAAAAAAAATAGAAAATTATTTTATTTGATAACTAAATAATGAACACTATTGTCCAAATAAGATAGTAAAATTAACGCAAGAGAATTAGGATAACTTTCAAATAAGAATGTAGATTATTTAAGTCTTTTTTCAAATATTTTAATAACATTCAAATCTGTACGGGGTGAATAATTCATTTTAGATTTGATCATGCGTGGTTTTATTCTTGCAACTTTTTATGCGATCAGAAAATACATTTTTTTATAATACTTATAATATCGAATTTGTTAAGGATTGGGTAAATTTTACCTACCTAAATTTTCTTAATTTAAAATAAAAAGTAACAATTTATTATTTTTATTTTAGGAATAACATTTCAAATCATTTGCAAATAATCTTTTATTTGAGTTAATTCATTGAAATAAAATTATATAATAGACTAGATGTTTATTTTATATATTTATGGACACAATTAATGAAATCGAATTTTGATGCTTACTTGTTACTAATTACATCTTGAGCATTATTATGAATAAAATATTTGAAAAATGGTTAACTTATCATTCAGTAATCACATATTCGACTCGTTGTTACTTTGAAATAAACGTTAGTTTATTCTCTAGTTATGAACAAATAAATATTTTTGTTTTAATTATTTAATTATGTAACTATCGAATAGAATAATGTTTTACGTTATTTTGTATTTTCTATTTATTTTTATAAAATTTTTATAAAATTTCTCAGATATAATATAAAAATATAAAATATAAAATTTCTATATAAAATAAATAAAATATAAAATTTTTGTAAAATTTCTCAGATAGTTTCGTATAAAATTTACCTAATTTTAGAAATCTTTCAATGAATTCATTCGAATGAAACATCGTCTTTAATGATTTATTTGATTCAAAGATAAAGCTATTTTCCTTATGTTATTTTTCAAATAATAAATTATAAATTAATGAAAATGACTCGTTACTTCAAATCTTTTTTTTTTTTTTGACACAAATAACGAATAAATTCATTTTGATTGCTCTGAATTTCCATTATTTTTTCTATAAAAATACATTACATAATTATGTTTATAACTCGTGACGCCTTTTTTCCTGGGATTTCTTGTTCGTATTGGGAGACTATTTACACGATTTTCTTACGCGTAAGAAAGAAAAAAAAAAAAATACCATGAAACGAACAAACATATATAGAAAGATGAATGTAAATTATTCTTTGTACATCAATATTTTATTATAATCACGAATTTATTATTTATTTACTATTTAGTTTATTATTTATTATTATTATTTATTTATTATTTATTATTATTATTTATTATTATTATTTATTTATTATTTATTATTATTATTTATTATTATTTATTTATTATTTATTATTTAGTCATAGTTTTAATATGAATGTGCACGTGTTAAATACATTGTAGTACAAGGTGTTCTGTTTAATTTTGAGAACGATAAAATATCTCACGCAAGATTGTAGTTGGAAAAACTTAAAAAATGTTTGGACAAAAGCTGTTTGGTTCCAAAGAGAGCAAATTATATTGGTGGGTAGAAAAACTATGAAATATATTTTTGCAATTATCACAAAAACTAAAGAAATACTAAATATTTAAATACTATAGAATCACTCATTATATATACTAAATATTGAAATATTGAATATTTAAATACTATAGTATCGCCCATTATATGTATAGGAAACGATAGTTTGGAACCATGTCCTTGACAATATATTTCAAAGCATGAAAATCCGTGAGGTAACTTTTCTAGATTTCCGAAGAGATTTAATTTTAATTTCATTTTTAAAAAAAATGGAATTGTATAATTTGGGGTTGATTTATCTGAAAGAAGAAAGGAAAAATATTAATCTATTTATGTCGAAAAATCATTGGTTTAGGAGATATATCTCACGGATTCTATCATACGAAAAGGCAAGGAAAAATATGATCTTCCTATGTTTATGTTGTTCTTCGTACGATTAGGTAATAACTATTGTTAGCTAGGTTAGATAATTCGAATTATATTTATGTAAAATGTACATTTTGGAACGAAAGCATATTCGATACTTTCTTATATTAAGTATCGTAAAATAGAGAAAATCGTTGATTGTTACATCTGTATTTTTGGACGTGGATGTACGTGTAGTATGTTGAATGTCACTACCGAGACGGTAATTCCTAAAGAGATACAAAAGAAAATGTAAATATTGTAAGTAGCGTGACGGACAAAAATGTAGCACAGGTCGAATATTCTCAGTCATACAGAAGCTATCGAAAGTGTAACATTTGTGTGAAATTCAGTCAGTTAAGATAAAAACGAATTAATGTAATAAACGTAATAAATAAATTAATTAATTAAAATAAATAAATATATTTGAAATAAATAAATTTAAAATAATTAAATAAATTTAAAGAAAATAAATAAAAATAGGTCGCGAGAAGAAGTTAAATCCGGCTGAAATACAGAATATCGAAATTACAGGTATTGAAATTAAACAAACAACATTATTCTGTACCAAAAATAGTCGAAATAATTAATAGAAATCGTAAAGTGATCATGAATTTACCAAAAAACAATTATGTGAAAAGTGAAAATTGTGGACGACCGTATTGTTGGGAAAAACGCACTTTAATACGAATAGCGTCATATTTAAGCTTGACCGCGAGACAAATTAGAGAAGAAGTTGAAGTTACGACAAATGTTCGACGTCTTTTAACTTCTTGCGCTAGTAACTGGTTCATGGACCATAACGAGTGACCAAACTGTAAACAATAACTCTTTCTTTTGAATTCATCACTGGATAGAAATTACTAAGAAGTAATAAATTTGTTATTTGTTTTGCCTGGGTTATATTTCAATACACTTAAAACTGAGAAAATATACCAATTTTGGGCCAAATATTGTCGACGTGCGTGGCATGTCATTCGAGCGCAAAAGGTTAATAAATTGTGAACATCTGGCACAACGAAACATTGCAACAAAAACCTTGGTTGAAGCAAGAACACCAAACTGTGTCGTTTACAATTTGCAGAGAAACATCTTTGTGTGAATACGAAACGGGGAAGAGTCATGTTTACTGATTAAAAGAGGATGGCTTCCATTACTATTATCGTGATTTACGAAAGGAGCAACAACTTGAGTCGTAGACCCATGAAAGGCGGTTATAGTAAGTAGTATTAAAATTGATATAATGAAATAGTAAAAAGTATATTGAAACGATTGGCGAACAAATTAATACGTAAGCGACACAAATTGCGAAATAAGTGCTTTTTTCAACATAATGACGCGGCCTTGCACACCGTGAAAACAGTACAATACTTTACAAATAAAGAAAGATTGTACTTTAGAATGGCTAGCCAAATCTCTGGAGTTAAATATTATAAAAAATTGTTGGAGGAATTTGGCGAGGGTCGTATACGAAAATGGAAGACAATTCGCAAATATTAATGAATTTAAAATATTGTGGAAAAAGTAAGAAAAACTTAGCTAAAAAGTCATTTAAAAACTATATGAATCTTTGCCTCGAAGAATGGCTGCCGTTATTAAATGCAAAGGTCATACTGAGTAAACTCGTTTCTTTTGTTTCTATCCATTGTTTTTCATGAAATATGCTATCAATTTAATCCGCTAAGATTATCATATTTTTCTTCCTTTTTTTTTAATAACACAAAATGTATTGCAAAAAGTTCAATTTATGTTACTTATAAATGTTGGTGAAAGCACTATGGAAGAATGAATATAAGAAAGATTTTATATCGTTCGTTTAATAACTCTTGCGTTAATAACTAGTTCACGGACCATAACGAGTGACCAAACCGTCATATAATTATATACTAGTCTTCTTTTTGAATTCATTAGTATATCACTGCATAGAAATGACTAAAAAGTAATAAATTTATTATTTATTTTGCCTAGGTTATATTTCAATATACTTAAAACTGAGAAAATATTATACAGCCTGTTGATCTAATAAATCTGCCAGATTTGCTTCGACGTGCATCGCACTACGCTCTGTATCGAACAGTAATCGATGTAGAAAATTGGGGAAGAATTCATGTGTCATAGTATTCAAGAATTCCTACACTCTGCTTTAATTCGCTTGCCCATTCTGATATTTTGACAACTCTGTCGTTGATAAATTTATCATTAAGAGCGGCGATGTGTCTTTCAATTTGCTGGAGCGTAGGTGGCAATCAAACGCAGTTCTATATTTCGTTTCTTCAAAAATATAGACTCTGACGGTTTAAATGTAAAATTTGTCGATCTAGTGCGCGAGCTAACAGCTCGCGGTCTTCCGAAAAGGGTTAATCTTGTAATCCTCTTGTTTACCCCCAGCTCGAGGATTTTAATTGAATGAGTTGTAAATAAATATTTAGTAAAAGCGTCAACCATTATTAATATGTACTATAATATTACTATACAGAATGTATTAATATATAGAAGTCTATAATTAGTATTAAAATATATAAATATATACAAGTCTCACTATATTACTAAAACACCTTTAAAATTACTAAAAAATTTTAATATGATAACAAATTTCGTTTACTATTTATATGTAATTTTTGTTGGTTTCGAAACGAGTTTTTTGAAAAGGTATTGTGATTTTTTGTATTCTAGACAAATTGAATTTTACATTAAAGTCAAATTTGTTATCTCAATTTTGGTCAAAATGAAAAAATCGTTGTATCCAAACATAAAATGCTGATGGGGAAGCTTTCGGAGAAAATTATAAGGTCACTGTATATGTATATCGATAGCTGTTCTTGGAGCCAGGAAAAGGGTTTAGGCAATTACAATGAATAGTGTTGAGAAATATCGGTTTCGGCTTTTCAATGGAGTGCATTAATCTTTGTTTAGGTCCGATTTAACGTTCTAACACGGTGCAAATGAAGCAATGTTTAGAAATAAATTACGAGCGATACATTCATAAACTTTGTCATCGCCAACAAGCAAATTTTCATGTCATGACATAATCTCAGTAATTCGAATCGACTGTTTTTCAACGTAAAACGTAAAATCGATAAAGAATTCTTTCTTCGTCGCTACCCACAATCAGTTTGCGGTATAATAAACCATCAATCACTTCGTAATTACTACTTACACTGTCTTTAACCTCTTGCTCTAGTAACTGGTTGACGGACCGTAATGTGTGACCAAACCGTATACAATAATTCGTCTTCTTTTTGAATTCATCGGTACATTACTGGATAGAAATTAGTAAGATGTAATAAATTTATTTTTGTTTTGTTTTGGGTTATATTTCAATATACTTAAAACTGAGAAAATATTGCAATTTTGGCAATATTTTTTTTGTCCAAATATTCTCGACGTGCGTGGAACGTCATTCCAGCGCAAGAGGTTAACTCTCACCCTCACAATTAACGCGGCATTTTTTTTTTTTTCTTATCCTTGCAATCAAGAGTCAATGCTAAATAGTACCCTCAGAAATTGACAAACCTTACGTAGCAGTCACTCAACAATATTATATCAAGTGGTAAACTCGATGACCTTGTTTCGAGAGCACTTGACTGCTATCGCTATTTACTTGGCTCACATTTGCCGTACCTTTTTCCGGTGAGCGACTAGTTCTTTTCCTCATTGCTTCGTCCAGCATTGTGATTTTTTATACGTTCTACCTTCTTCAGAAACTGCAAAAACTATTTTGATACTTTTAATGGTATTATTTTAAATACCATTTTTTCCATAAAAATAACACAAGAACGAATATTTTCTTCATTCAAACATATACACGAATTTGAACAGAATTTTTTTTACAAATGAAAGATAATTATTTCTTTCGATTACTGTTTAAGAACATATGATTTCATTGAGAACAGTTGATATTTCATCTACAAAAAAATTAATTAAGTCAGAACAGTAAAGTAAATAGTTATTACAGTTAAATTCATATTCTGACTGTTTAATATCTACGTAAATAATTCACAGTTTACAGTTTGTTTGTATTTGTTTTGGACTAAACAGGAAATTAAGGACGTTACACAGATAATATAATATTTCTGAAGTAGTAGCGAGCATTTGTGTGTTGACTGTCATCATTGATTTGTAACTACGTTACATTATATAATAGTTCAATTTGAACTTTCATTAATATGACATTATATTGTTAAATAAAACTAGTACCTAATAATTTGCTATTTTTATTTATCTCGTAAAACTTTTTTTTAATAAACGTTCCAAACTAACTTGTTTTCATACTTATATAGATTACAACTTTTATTATATAGATTCTAAAATTTCATGAGAATATTTAAAAAAAAAAGGGACCATTTTAAATACCATTTCATTCCATAAAAATACCACAGAGACGAATGAAATATAATAGATAAATTTGAACAGAATTCTTTTACAAATAAAAGATAATTGTTTATTTCGATTCCTGTTTAAGAACATATGATGTCATTACCATCATTTATACAAATCGTTTCGTTTAAAATAACATCACAGTTGTTATTTTCGCTTTCACACATAAAAAAATTAATTAAATCAAAACACGCTCATCTCGAAACTATTTATTTTTTGTAACATTTTTCGTTGTGGACAATAATAATGGTATAAGTTTCTCTGAAATAGGGACTTTCGGTATACAATATAAGGATTGATGAGATATAGGAATGCCGTCAAACTATCTGCGCTTTGGACGAAATAGTTGCATTCAACGGCGGAGGGCCCAGGTTCGAATCCTGGCTATGGTATTTCTCCTTCGTTTTCTTCTGTAACAGAAGTTCTCACTTTGCCGTATGGGTGGCCGAACAGGCTAAGGAGACGAAAACAACCCGGATCCATCATTGTGAGAGCCCAAACCCGACGACACCTGGGGGAAAGCTGCATGTGGACCCCAGCTGACAAAAAAATCCAAGCAGTAATAAGATGTGTAAGACATCATCTTCCTCCCAAGGACAATGCTACCATTATGAGTTTTTGTAAGAGCACTTCTCAGTAAGTGTGCCAGAGAAGCGAAGGAAATTCGCAAGCCCATTCGAGTAATGGCCGAGGAGGGCGAAGAAATTCGCAGAGCATCACTCAGTTTCATGCCGAGAAAAAAAGAAGAAATTCGTGCGAGGAGAATCCAGGACCACACCATCCCTATCTTCGTACAGAATCCTCTATCAAATGTGCACAATTTAGTGTACGATGGAAAAAAAGGGGTTAGTCGTCAACGCTGATTTTGGGCTTCGAAGTAATGAAGTTTTCAGGACCAAATCTTCCTCGTCTGCTTCCTTAATATCCACAGAGGATGGATTTTTCGAACTTGGGAGAAATCTATGCGATTTTAGTATTTAAGGGTAGTCAATTACAGGCGCATTAGGATAGCTCTTATTTTGACCTGTCGAACGGCTATTTTCTTTTTCTTTTTTTTTTTTTTAATATTCAGATTTCTCCTATCTGCGTTTTTGCATTCACGTACCATTTGTACGTTTAAAAAATGTATTGACGAGTATTATTGAGCCCGAGTAATTAAGCTCATTCCTGTCTCTTAAAGTTAAAAATCTAGAAAAAATATATTGCAGTTTGTTAATCTGTAAGTAAGGATCACTACTATCTCATTCCTAGCGAAATAGAAATGTGTAAGAATCCGAGAAATGTCGGGTCAAGTAGGATTGAGAATTTATTTCGGGATCGGGTCTCCGAAAATATCTCATAATACAAGATTCTCGATAATTTCGGGACACTTAAATCGGGATTCACGAGACTATCGAGAAGTCGTATATTTTTTTCAGAAACATTAAATTTTAATATTTATTTATTTATTATTTATTATACATAATCTTCTTGCCTTGTGGCTTAAAGATGGCTTCCAGTTGCTACTTAGACTACCTTAAACTACCTTAAATGTAACTTCAACTACAAGTCGTAAATTTCCTTAACATTAAAATACCTTAAACTATGAATTATAAACAATAAATTTTAAACTCAGTGCTAGATTCTGGCATGTCTATTTTAATCGCTAGTTTCTTTCTTTGGCTATTCTTTGATTTTCGTTGTGTTGAAATATTCTTCATTGCTCTATGCCCTTTGTACTCTTTCTTTTTTCTCCTCTCCTCCAGGATTCTCCTCATGGTTTCCACTCCTCTTCCATTTTCGTCTAGAAATTCTCCTATCGGCAGGTCCCCTCTGGTGTATGCGCATTCCACGAGTACATGCATTATGTTTTCCTCCGTCCTTCCACACAATCTGCACGTCGTTTCCCCCTCCTTCTCCCAATGTTGTCATCTCTTCCACTCATTCCCGCACCTAAATCTCGCTATCATATATCTCTCCTTCTTCTTTCTCATATTCTGGCAAGTTTTCTGTAACCAGTTCGCTATAGTCTCTGTTGTAATTTGAATTTTTTATTCTTTCCACTTTTTCCTCCCTTTCTTTGTGTATTATTATCTCTATCATCTGCCGGCTTTCTTCCCTCCTCATTGATTTTTTCCCTTTTCGACTTCCTTAGTCCCCAACTTTCTAATCTGAGCCTTCTCTTTTCCTCCCACCTGTTTCTTTTTTCCGCCACTCCTTCTTTTTCTATCTCCTTCAAGCTTCCTTCAAGATAAGGAAAGAAGGAACTGTATTATTGAAAACCTAATCATAGGTGAAAAAGTTTGATTATAGTCTACGCCATAGATTTGACAACAACCTTTAGTGACTGAGCAGGTCTTAAATTGAACGAATTTACCATTTTCATCCTTTTTGCATTTGAAGATCCACTTGATGATTTCTTTACCTTCAAGGAGATCAGTTTACTCCCAGAATCGATTTTTGATTAGAAAATTGTACTCCTCATCCATTGCGGATTCCCGACGTTTCTCATCAGAACACAAGGCTTCTTGAACTGATGACGGTTCATCGCTTGTTGCAATGAAAGCTTTGTGTCTGATACAGTCAGGGAATTTTCTGGCTTTTCTAACTCATACAGGATATCTTCATTCCTGAGATTTTTCTTGATTCTCTTTGAGATGTTACTCTTGGCAAGGAGTTTGATCACTTTCTTCTTGCATTGTTTCTTAACGATTCTTTTCTTCTCGTACATCATCAATACCAACTACCAGAATTGGTAGATCAAATGAGTAGTTATGCTCTTCTTTCTTGGCAATTGAAGTCGTCCCAAACTCATTTTCAAAGAAAATTACATCTTTTCCTTTTATTATATTCTTAGGTTGATTTGGATCCATTAGTCTGTAGCCTTTGGATATCTGAGCAATATCCTATAATTATATACTCTTTTCCTTTGGATTTGAACTTCGTTCTTGCTTGCTTGGGTATATGTAATATGGCTCTACATCCAAATATTTTAAGTGTCAGAAATCTACCTTTTTGCCTGACCAAATTTTAAATGGCGTTGAATTCCACACGTGTTTACTTGGCGAGCGATTTTTTAAATATATAGTCATTCTTACGACTTCTTCCCAAAACTTTTGATTAAGCTTGGCTTCTTGCAATAAGCAACGTGCTTTTCAACAACTGTTCGAATCGCTCTCTCTGCAATACCGTTCTGTTCCAGTTTATGCGGAAATTTTGTCTAATGTTTTATTCCTCCAGACTTTAAGAAATTATCCAGCTCAATATTTAGGAATTCCTTGCCGTTACTTGTCCTTAAAATTTTTATTTTTTTGTCGTGTTTCTCTTTCAACCCATGTTTTGAATTGTTTGAATGCACCTGCAACTTCAGATTTATGTTTCATGAAATAAGAAAAGGTCATTGCAGAGAAATTGTCAACCAGGATAAAGACATCTTGGAATATTTAAAATTCAATCTAGAGACTTGATTTAATTAGGCACTTTAATAAATTCACACTTATACCATAATGCCACGGTAAGACAGTATGAACGGGAATGAATAAACATCGACTGTTAAGGATACATATATATAAAAACGGTAAATATCGTAGTGACGAACTTTTTTTTTTATTTCATTAAGAACATTACAATCAATTCTCATTGAGGATTATAAGTAAGTAGGCTGGCGTGAGTCAATGGCATGCAGAGTAGTTGCTACTACTAGTGTCGATTAATGAGATACATAGTTTCGGATGTTTATATAAACCTGTACTGAAGGTCCAGAGGGTGGTATCTTTTGTGTGTCCTGTTCCAACAGTTGAGTGACCAAAGGGTTAGAGTGGCTACTCACGCGCGAGTTGTGTCTAATATTGTGTTTTGTTATTTCCTCTTTAACTGTAGGGATCCTGAGATCACTGTAAATTGTTTCGTTTATTACGTACCAAGGTGCATTTGTGACTATTCTTGCCATTTTGGATTGGAAGCGTTGGAGTATTTCGATGTTGGCTCGCTGTACCCCAAAGTTGAATTCCGTAGGTCCAGATGGGTTTCGAAATGATTTTATACAGTAATAATTTAATTTCAAGGCTTAGATTTGATCGTCTACCCAAGAGCCAGTAATATTGTTTAACTATTAACTTCAGTTAGTTACATTTAGTTTTGATATGCTGTTTCCACGTTAATCTTCTGTCGAGGTGCAATCCCAAGTATTTAACCTAATCTTTGGTCGGAATTATTGAGTTGTTATAAGTCACTAGTGGACAATTTTGTCTTCGTAGAGTAAATGTAATGTGCGTTGATTTATTTTCGTTTACTTTAAATCGCCATTTGCAGAACCATTCTTCCAAAGTGTCGAGGCTTCGTTGAAAAGATGTAGATGCTATTTGTGGATCTTCATCAGATGATAATAGAGCTGTATCATCCGCGAATGTTGCAGTGATTTGGAGTAGGTACTCTGATGTTAATTGGAAAGATTAATGAGTTAGCGTCTAGATATCTCACTCTGAATGTTCTATTATTTAGGTATGATTGAAGTATGGAGTAGTAAGGATGAGGTAGGATGTTTTTGAGTTTGTACTTTAGTCCAGCGTGCCATACTTTATCAAACGCCTGTTGGATATCTAGGAACACTGCGGAACAGTATTTTTTCTTTTCTAGATCTTGACTGATTTCATATATTATTCGGTGGACTTGTTCTGTTGTTGAATGCCGCTTACGAAACCCAAACTGGTGGTCAGGAATAATCTTCAGTTCTTCTAATATGGGATGGAGGCGTTTGATGAGTAATTTTTCAAATAATTTAGAAATGTTTGGCAGTAAACTGATTGGACGATATGAGCTTGCGTCGTGGATCGACTTTCCCTTTCTTATGGATAAGGGTGATAATTGATAGTTTCCAAGATTTTGGGTAATACCTTAAACGAAGGATCGCGTTAAATATTGATGTGAGGAATGCAATTCCTTCTTTGGGGAGCTCTTTGATTGCTTGTTAGTTATTCTGTCGTGCCCCGGTGCTTTTTTGGAATCGAGAAGTTGAACCATATCTCTCACCTCTGCGTCTGTGAAAGGTTCGATAGGAAGTGACATTTGGGATTGTAGGTAATCTATGATTTCTGCTTCTTCTAAGCTGGACGATGGACAATGAAGTTTAAATACTTCAGTTAGGTGGAGAGCAAATACATTTGCCTTGTCTGTAGAACTACGTGCCCATCCTCTTTGCGTAGTGCGAATGGGAGGAATTGTTTGAGGTGGGCAAGTGAGCCTTTTGGCTGCTTTTCAGAGCGAATGGTTTGCATCCGCCGAGGATGACAAGTTCCCTAGATATTTTTGAAAGGAGTAGTTTTTGAAGTTATGGAGGATTTTACGTTTTTCTGTGATTTTTCTCTTTATGTAGTCCGGATAGGGTTGGTTTTGTTCTAGATTCCTGATTAGGTGAAGAGGAACGGATCGCATTTATTATGTTGTTGCTGAAACAATCCACTGCTGCGTCAATATCATTCTCTGTTCTTAAC